TAGATTGTCAAACGACTATGGAGTAGCGGTTTCTTATGGACAATTTTTTGTTAGATCATCATTTGGCAAGGTGGTAAAAACAGTTTTCCCTATTGTGTCAGCTATGTTTTTAGTTAGATTCAAAAGTTTTCGGAAAAAAATGTTTGACAAATTTAAGCCAGGCACAGGACCAAGCGAAGCGAGAAGAGCAGAAAGCAAATTTGAAGTCATTTGTATCGGTAAATCTACCACAGCTGAAGCAAGAACTATATTTTCGGGTGGCGATCCAGGGTATAATGAAACAGCAAAGATGTTTTCACAATCTGCATTTACACTCTTAGATCTAATCAAAAACAATACGATAAAGTATGGTGTACTAACTCCAGTAGAAGCCTTTGGGATGGATTTGGTAGAAAGACTTAGAAAAGAAGGTATACGAATAGACTAGTGCTCTGACTACTGATATCTAAAATATATCTTGTCAATAATTTCAGCCAAATCCTTATCTTTTTGGGTGACAATATCGCCTGCATCGTGCGTCGATAACTGAAAATCTACCTTATTATAGGTATTGGTCCACGTAGGATGATGGTTTATTTTTTCAGCATGGATAGCTACTTCGGTCATAAATGCAAAAGCCTGCACAAAATCTTTAAAAGTCAGTGATGCTACCAATTTATTATTTTCTTCTTTCCAACTCATGTTATTCTATTTATTAAACTAACAGTCAAAAGACCAATGAGTTGTGAAGATGCATCTATCTATTAAGATTGTCCATTGTTAACTTCAATCCAATCGTTGCAAAATTTTTGACAGCTTCTCCAGCTTTGATGATCATCTTTTCTACATCATCTTTTTCGTGGACTTTCCACTTTCCTAGTACATAGTTTACTTGTTGACCAGGATGAAAGTCCTTGCCGATTCCCATACGAAGACGGACATAATTGTTATGACCAAACTTCTCTTGAATATCCTTGAGTCCATTGTGGCCTCCATCACTTCCTTTGTCACGAAGTCTCATTTTACCAAGGTCAAGATGTAGATCATCTACTATGACAAGCAAGTTTTCTGGCTGGA